TCAGCCGACGTGGATGATAACTGCTACTACATCAGTATTGCACGAAGTGAGGTATGAGACGGCATTTCACACAGTAAAGCACTAGAATCATTTCTAATAATACTACTTCATATGTATAGCTACAGTTATGCTATTCTAACAGCTCACTAAAGCAACAGCATTTTACAAAAGCTGCTAAAAAGCAATATTTTGGGATGTTTTCCTGAAGCTGACCTCTGGAGAGAGTCTGAGGAATCCTCTCCTCTTTCTTGGGAGTGGTCTTCTCAGGCTTCCCCATGGCAGAAGACAAGGTCACAAGGACCAAGAGCACTGAGAGTATTCCTTTAAGCATCTTCACAAGCTGAAAGAACGAAACATTTCGATTTATATAGCTGTTAGGAAATGACAAAGCATGATTTTATCATCAGTCCCAGCAGTTAATGGTGTTGCATGCTCGAAAGTGACCTGTAGCAAAGCCTCCAGAGAAAGTCCCTGTGATGTTGGCTCCTCACCTGTTCTCGGCTTCCCTGTTGAGTGTGTTCAGACTGGTCTCTCTCTCTCTGTCTCACCTGTACGGCTCTTATACCTGTTCACCTGAGGCTCCGCCCACCTCTCTTCTGCTCTGGAATTTGATTCTGCGCTTCAAACTTTGCATTAACTCTTTTATTTGGCCCGGCACCAAGGACAGGTCAGCAGGTAGTCGTGATAAGCTATTGAAGACTAGCATGATTGGGCTTTTTAGGATTGGCTGAGCTCTGATCCGTGATGTCAGAGGGGTACATTAATGGGCTTTTGTAATTTGAGGCACGACGTGGTGTTAGAATGAGAAACCTGTTTATCACGCAGGAATATCTTGATGCGTATTTTTATCATATTATCATCAAACACATTCAATTGATAGATTTGAGTCTAACTGTACAGTATGTTTTTAAACAGTTTATAATTGCATCTGAAGGAAGTCTACTATTTGCATGTGGGAGTATTTTGACATTATAACTTACTAGTGCATTATAATCTGTTTTCTGTAATATAATAGTATTGTATACAGGATTCTTAATAGTCTATATACAATGTGTAGTTTGCTGGTGAAATCCTGCCTTGCAAACATTTGCTTAATGAAGCGCTCAAAAGGAAGTTTCTCGAACACCGTTCTTTGAGAGGACTGACGTGTCCTTAAGATGACTGATTCTGTATGAAGATGACTTAACTTTTTTCTGTGTAACCTTTTAGTATTATTATTATTATTATTTTAAATTATAATTTTTTTATTGTTTTATTATTTTAACAAATAATTCGCTTTATTTTCATACATTTTTTCTATTATTTTATTTTATTTTATTACTTCAACCACTTTTCTAATAAATTCTATAATTCTAATAAAGGAAAAGCATCACCAGTGACCTTTTCTTTTAATAATATTTCAATTGAATTTCTTTTCTTTTCTTTTCTTTTCTTTTCTTTTATTTCTTCTACCATTTTTCCGTACCAATTCTAGTAAAGGAAAAGCAACACCTTTTATGTTAATAATATTTAAAGTATTTTATTTTATTTTATTTTATTTTTATGTTTATTTTATTATTTTTCCATACTAATTCTAATGAAGGAAAAAGCATCACCTTTTATTTTAATAATTTTTATTTTATTTTATTTTGTTACTTCACCTTTTATTATTATTATTATTTTATTAATTTTATTATTGTTTTATTATTTAAAAAATAAATCACTTTATTTTCATTCATTTTCATTCAATTATTTTATTTTATTTTATTTTATTACTTCAACCACTTTTCTAATACATTCTAATTCTAATAAAGGAAAAGTATCACCAGTGACCTTTTATTTTATTTTATTTTATTTTATTTTATTTTATTTTAGTTTAGTTTAGTTTAGTTTAGTTTAGTTTAGTCAATGCAGTTAATGGGGTCCACTCAGTGTTGTTTTAGACCACACTTACTTTCATTTGATGCACAAAGAATTCATCAAAATATTTTCAAAATGATTAAAGAATTTCAATTTTTGAGTAATCTATCTCTTTTATGTCAAATTTATTACTTTAAAATGTAAATAATCATTTTTCATTTTAAGGGGTTAAATGTGTTTGAATGGCTAGACAATAGACACCT